TCATTCATTCATTCATTCATTCATTCATTCATTCATTCATTCATTCCATATCCTGCCTATCTGGTCTTACGACCACACAAAAAATGAACTTCTGGTAAGACCTTAACATAAAAGCCACAAAATGTATACCAATGTAATAAGAGCACTTCAACATCTATGCACAACCAACCAGAGATAAGGATGTTCCTACACAATACACATACTGTAACTATAAACATGGCATGTGAGCCACAGATCAGCCTTCTCTCAGGCTGTCAGGGCCCCAGATGATACACTCGTATGAGGCTGCAAATGCTCTAATCCTTGAAGTGTATTTAGGGAGGGCACCTGTTATTTCAAACATGAGTTCAGCTACATGTAGATCATAACATATATCACTGTTGTTCAGAACCTAATAAAAGAATAGAGTGGTGCTTGGTACTGCCACCAGTTAAGACCACTAGAGGCTTTGTTGCTTACAGGATCCATGTTTGTACTGAGGGAAAGATACACGGACAACTTGAGACAAACACAGGCAGTCTGATCGATGCCTTATGAGATCTGCTACCAGAGATCTGGTAAAAGGGGACTGTTGAATAGGCATGAAAGTACTGTATGTTTTTGTTATGTTTGTGTCTCCACTTTTTAAATTTGTTTGATTCTTGCTTAATATTCCACATTTTTAATGTAAATAAAATGAATTTAAGCCTAGTCATGGAGAGATCCTCTGGAAATGAAGTATCTGCTATTAGAAACTTATAAGAGATATGGGGAATCAAAGCTGCCATCTCTACCACTAGATTGGTTTCAATTAAAGAAAAAATATAAAAAGCTAATTAGGGAAAAAAAGAATTTGTCATTGAGGATGAGTTGGCAGAAGCAAACTAGCAGCACCACCACAATGGGAATAGCTGGCTTTTTTAACTTTTCCAAAGCCCAAAGGTAGACTCTCCCAGTTTAAAAGTTTTGCAGCAGCTACATCCAGTCGTTCCGGAGATCACCATAAAGGATATAATACACATAGAATATTTGTCTGCAGACTATTTCAAAACACGTCCAGTGGTGAAATTTAAGAACTGGCAGATCACGGGGGCTGTATATGGTCATAAGAATGAACTCCTGAGGGCAGGTTTGGTTATCACGAGATTCTTTGAGAACACCACACAGACATGCCTATTACAAAAAGACTCAAAAATTCAATCAAAATGTCCTGGTATCTGCAATTATATTAATTTTGAAGATGGTCATGGCATGTATCAACGTGGGAAACAGCAATCAGCATATACATCAAAAGACACAGATATCTTTCAAGTACTGTACCAGAAGAGAAAGGAATTGCTAAAATCCTTTACGGCACTATCTTAGGTTCAGGATATAATAATCAATAGAATATCGGTCTTGAAAGATAGCCTCATTCACCTCCAAGGTTCTGATAATGACATGGCAACGACAGATGGATTTGTGCAGGGTAGAAACATTCAAGGAATAGCAGAGAAGCAGAAAAAAGAAAAGATCTGCCCCCTTTTAAATAAAGGAAATAGTTCAGATTACAACCATTCACCTTCTAAGAATTGCCAGTCCAACACAACTACCAAACAACCCACTATGGATGTTCCACCAGGTACTGTAGATTGAAACGATCTTAACCATGTTCAACAAACAGCAAATACTGTACATCTGCAAACATGTTACTCAAACCACAACAGGATTTAATTTTGTAAGAATGCCCAGACCTAACCAGTGGGGATAAAATAATACCTACTGACAAAGCCACGGCCAAAGCTAGCTCTTCCAGCCTCTCACAACTGGAAGCGACTGAGATAATCCATGTACCTGTGCCTGAGTCGATATTCAATAGTAATCTAGAAGTACCCCATGAGAGTTTAATGGCACCTTCAACAGTATCTAACACACTCTCACCAACCTGCATTATTTCAAGACCAAAGCTGGTCGGGACTTTTCTAGTATTTTGTATTATTGTAGAAGGAAGAACATAGGTAAAGCCAATCTGAGTGGCAGCTAGAAAAGGAACATGGACATGCTCAAATAAACACCCAGTCTAGAGCTGGCAAATACAGACAGGTGAATCTTTGTCCTAAGACATAAAAATCTGCCAAAAAACTAGGAAAGAAAGCAAGATGGAATAGCTCTGGCCCTCTCTTTAATATTTTATCAAATGATAATCTTGAGATGAGAAAAAGCATTGGCTGTTCTACTGTACTAGTTTTGATGACTTAGTCATGAAGGCAGCATAAAACATTACTTTAAAAATGTATTATAAAGGAAATTGCTGAGGATGAAGCCATAAACTCTGAATAACAGGTTAACATTTTTCAGAGGCATAAACCTAAATCAGATGAATGCTAAGATCAGGAAATTAAGGAATTGATGTTGAATGTGCAATTATATTCTTTTAACTGCATGCCAGACAGTGGTTAAGTCTCACATTGCTAAATTATCACAGTGATAACATAGCCAACAGTAAAGATTTTGCAGAAATGTTTTCAGTGACCCACCAAACATCACTGAGTCTGGTCTTCACTGAGTTTTGTGAACTGTGAAAATGTATTAATCCTTTTTCCTTTTTTGTCAGTAGTGTTATTTTCCTGACTTATTACAACTATAATCCATTCAGCTCTTGCATTTTCAACATTTATTTTCTTTTTTGTTGTCACTATATTTCACCATTTGTATTCTTGGCCTTTTCACACTACAACCACACTTCTTTCTCTACTACTAGCTGAAGAAGAAGAATTAGAGAGATTTCCAGCTATCAAGAAACCTTAGGGTCCTTTGCATGGGACATTAGCCACACCACAATCAAACAGCAATGCTCCAGCCACCATAATCAAGAGAGCAATCCACATGAAGAACACACTGGCCAGGAGCCAATGTACAGGGATGGAAGACTGTCATGAGAATCCAGGAGGAGATAATCTCTCTCCATGTAACCTCTGCAGGCTCTCAATGTCTTCTCTGCAGGGTTAGGAGACCTTTTGAAGTTGAACCTCTAGTGGCATGAAGGGCTGAGTAAACTTGGGGAAATGAGGAATGAATCTTTTGTGAGCACACAGGGCCATACGGTTGGGAAATGATTTTTTTTCTGTATCAATTGATGGATGCTTCTCTCTACACTGATGTTAGACTTGTCTCTGTAGAACTGGATTGTGGCCAACATATTTCATCTTACTCTGGTTTATCAAAACCATTATTTCTGTAATAATTTGCTGTAATATATTTAACAGCAATGTAAGTAAGAGTAGCATGCAGAGGGAAAAATGTAGTTACTATAAAATATGTGAGCACAAATGTTGGTTCCAACCTTTGCTTTTCAAGACAAGCAAGAAAACACTATCTTGCCTGAAGTCCACAATACAAATTGCATTGGGACTATTACTCTGTGCAGTTGCTCAAGAATAAAGTTTCTTAGTTAAAGAAACAATACTTAAAGAAATGAAAACCATTTATATCCACAGCTACTGGAGAAAAATTCAACTGAAATAACTGTTAAACATCAAGGTACTGTTACCTCATCTGTTTATTATTTATTGCATTATTACCCCATTCTTCGACCAAAAAGGCTTCCAAAGCTGCTTACATCAAGTTCAGAAATGAAATTTGCAACCATGGTACTAAAGAAGAAGAAAAAGCAGAGACAAGAGAAAGCACTTTCAAGATTCTTGATTTAGCTTGATTCAATATGCAACTATTAGGAACTTGCAATGGGTTATAGAGTTGGATTTAAGTATAGTAGAAAAGCTTCTTCCTCTTGCTCTGGTGATCTTTGCAGCAGCAGCTGGCAGCAGCATGTATGAACAGAGACTCCCAACTGTATCAAGGAACAATGAAGATTGACTGCTTCACTGCTCGCTTTTCCTCTTATTATTTCATTTACTGAAGTTTTGAAAAACAAAACAACTCCTGCTTAATAACAACCTATGGATGAACCTAAGCAAGTAATGCAATATGGCTGGCTTACTCATGGCTTAGAAAAAAATAAAGATAAAATAAAAGGAATGTGGTATGTTGTCTTAGCCTGCCCTGCAATGTATCTGTATGTGTAGGAGAGTGCAGGAGTGTGAGAGTGTATACAGTCAAACTGTTTGGAAGCGAGGGAACAGTTATTCTACTGCCCTGATGCCCCACAGCTTTGAACACACAGGTACAGCACAATCCTTCCAGCATTACACTGCAGTTGGGACACATGAGCAGTGGATTTACAGCTCTCCTACAAGACAGGCAGACTTTCATGCCTGCCTTGGCAACAATCCACTTCTCCCATTTTGAAACCATTGATCGGATGCAATGGACCTTACAAAACAGCTCTGTTCTAAAAACAGTACCATTTATTTATATCACAGGCAGGAAATACAATATCAGAATTGCTATGAAGCACCATTAGAAAATAAGAGGTCCACAAGAGCATGATGAGAGATTCATAAGATCCAACTCACTTATATGTGTCTGATCATCTGTATGTATAAGCCCCTGTCAGTTGCCCAACACCACAAGAGGTTTCATCTTCGCACTTGATCATCTGTATTTACCAAGCAACAGATGCCTTGAAGAACTTGTTGAAAAATAGTCCTGACAATTGCTTTATACAGTATTTGCATGAGAAGTGGTTAACTAAGGGGTATGTGTAAGAGAGTCAGCTTCTGAGATTTTCTTTTGCTTGGTGTCTCTGTGAAAGGTAGTGAGCACAAGAGGGTATCCTGCAGACCATCTTGAATGCTGACATGGTGTTGTCAACATTCAGGCTGTCCTTTGCTATGTACTTATAGTACAGTCAGTGCAAACCACTGGGCTCTGATCCTGTTAGACAAAGTAATAATGACTATCATCATAATGCCAGCTTGCCAGATTCTGAGTTACAGGTGTCATCTTTTACAGGAGCTGTAAAAGCAATAGAAATTCCT